TCCAAAGTTATAGAATTCACACGAAAACCCCTAAATTAATTTTTTCCTTATTTCTGTAGCTATGAGCTGCCAATGAACATTTAGGGCTTTGCTTGTAAATTCTATAACTTTGCAAAGAAAGGTCATTTAGAGCTGCGAGATGTCTCATTTTAATCAGAAATTTACGGACTACAATCACGCCTCATTGAGAAAGCTTTTGGATATTTTTTAGAGTTTCTGAAAAACTGGTTTTCCAGAAAATTGAGTCTTCAAGAGTCATCAGGAAAAATTCGGAAATCTGCAGTTATAACTTTATTCTCCACTGCAAGACAGTTCGAATACTGTGTTATACAAGGCTCCATCTCTTAAGGCAAGAGACCTGATGCTTTTTCGAGCGGAAGGTCCCGTTTTTGAGTTCTCTTAGAAATGAATTTTTGCAAAGGCTAAGAGCGATGTGGAGAAGTTCAAAGACACATATCATATGCAGTTTGACACACTGATTCAGAAAAACTCTGTTTCAAAACTCCAAAATTTAACTTGAACAAACAAACAAGCAAAACATCTTAAGTATAGGTTTTTTCGATTTTCGGATACTTCTCAGTATTTCGCAATTTTCATCGAGAAGGAAAATAATGTTTAAACTTTGAATTACGGGCGCTTTATATATGGTATTAATAAATATTACTAGTTGAGTAGTGTAGACGTCAAAAGTTCAATTCAACTATTCAATTATTCACATGTTAATTCAGTCCCACATTCACTTTCACCACGTCTCCCCTCCTCCCTGGCCCCGACCTCCTGCCTCATTCGTGTTACAGTGGAAAAACTACCACCTCCAAGGCAAAACTGGATAAGTATGGAACGCTTTTTTCAACTGAATATCTGAAAAATCGAATAGTTTCTATTTTATTCATTTTCAGAGTGAAGAGTTGAATGAATAATTGAATAATTGAAATAATTTCTAAACTGTTAATAGTTGAATTCAGCTTTTGACTTTTGCGCGTATGTACTAGTTGGGATTAGTGTCAGAAACAAGGCATTATGTCTTCATAGAAGGAGTGGCAATAGCTTCTAGTTGACATGCCTGGGCGTGCCAATAGCCATTCCGAACTTTATTTCGAGTGCGTTCGAGTTGAAAACAGCCTGCCCAGCCTCCTCTATACTATGTTACAATATAACACTCATTTGAACTCGTAACGAATAACGTTCATTTAAACTCGTTACGAGTCTAAACGATGGTCTTTCCTCTAAATGCACAGAGGCTTTTTTTCATCTCGTTACGAGTACGAATTTAACATGAAGTCTGCTATTTATATGTTCTTTCCAACTCAAATCGGGTGTGAGTAGTGGGCCTAAATAGATAAGCTTATCTGCATAGGCTAACTTGATGTTGTTAATAAGTGATGGTAGAAATGTCAACATAAAGAATTTCTTCTTAAGCTATCAGAGATTTGTATCATTTACACGAATAGGTAAAAGAAATAGATTTAAAATGTTGAACTTCGACCTTCTACAATGGAAAATTGAGAGTTCTAGTTTTTGTTACAGTTCATAGTATTGAAGTAAGTTATCACCCATCATCGTTTTTTCCTCTGTTCGTTGATACAGATTTAGAATAGTACAGTATAAAATTCTAAGGTTATTGAATAAAAATATTACAGAAGTAATATATTTCTTTTTGAGCATGTATTATGTATTCAAAGATATCACAATAACCTTCTTAATATTTTCCATCATTTTTTCGAACTGAAACGGGATGAAATGAATATTATCAGCTGTCGATGGCGAGAAACGAAAGCCGAGCTGCTTTCAGAAGGCATGACGTGACAACCTCGGTTTGGGGTTTACATGTGTCGTGGTAGCAATACTCATGTGGTATCAGAACCGTAGCTAAAAAGACTAAACAAGATAGAAGTGAAAATAAGGTAATGTTCTTCATGTGCTATTTCACGTTGTTTGAACGTGTTCAGCGCTAGAGCTATATTTCTAGGTTCGATTTCTAGGTTCGGTCTATATTTCTAGGATTCGATCTTCAGGGTAAAAAGTCGTAAATACAGTTATTCGCTCTGGAAATCATATCGGATCAAGTCGAATCCAGTGGATAAAAGTTGAGAAATTAAAAGGCATATACACTTTTTTCATAAAAATCGCGGAAACAGTTATTACACACACAAGAGTAATTGAATGAGCTGAGCATGAATATGGAGTCCATTTTCATTGGGATTTAACACCGCAGAAATAATTCATACTCAAGTTTATTTAATTTAAATGACTCAAACACTGGCCGATCAACCAGTATAAGTACTGGTACTGGTGCATACCTAGATGTACGTAGTATTATACTTTGTATATCCTGTTTCATTCATTCTAAACATTTTTTACCCACGAACCATTGTCCTTGTAAGAAAGCCAAAATTTCTTGGTCAACGAAATGTCATATAAAAAATATTGTGCAAATATTGAACAAAATGTGTAATTTAACTGTACAGTGTTCGTTGTACAGAATATAGATACAGAACGGTGAATTTAGTTTTGTAGTTTACTACAAAGCTAAGTTCACATGTTCGAATCTCTATTCGTACAAAAATTTATTTTGTGTTTTTCGATAGTTTTAGTTTAGAATACTATAATGGAATATTCTTCCGCTTGTATTCTGACAGAATAAAGCTTATATAAAAAAAAACTGTACAGTGTTTGTTTTTGAGTGCTTTTCCTGTTCGTAAATATTTTCGTTTCATTTCTTTTTTATTAAAGAAGTATTTACAAACAATGTGTGCCGTTGAGGATATAAACATAATATGCAAACTTACAATAAAGCCTGGGCATTACGATAATCGTTTTTAAACCCAATTAATCATGAGGCAATTCAAGAGCGTTTTTGTCTGCCAATAAATCATGTAGATATTAAACTTCGCATCGCACTTTTAGTGCGTTGTTCTTGTTGTCTAGTGTTTACAGGTACGAAAGCAAAAAAACCTATGTATACAATCAAAATAAGCGAGATTTTAAAAACAAAATCAGAGTAGAGTCGTAGTATTAACAGTATGATTTATGAATATCCTAGCTATACGTCACGTGAATATCAACTTTTTCACGAATCTTTTTTTTACCACGAAACCTATTTGATTCAACCCTGTTGATGGGTCCAAATACATTTGAAAACGGTGTTAAAAATGTTTCGAATTATTTCGATGAAATTAAAAAAATAAATTGACTTTACCATCTTATGATCGTCATTGGCAATTAAGAATGAAACATGTGTGACGTATTCATTCGGTTATCTATAAATCACGCCAAAAATAAGGTGAATTAGCTGATATCGTCTTGAAAATGTCAAATAATGATGCATTATTAGTTTGTCAACTATCGAACATAACCAAACAATTTGTAAATTCATCACCATCACAATTTGAACTAGATACACATACAGAAAATGATAAATTATTAACTCGGAGTCTTTGTTAATTTACCTGACATCATTTCATAATCATCATCCACCAACATTTTCTCGATATTTCCAGATGCATCTTCGATCATAAGTCACAGTAATACTTCTCCAACTATCATTGGTTCGACACCCAATAAAGATCAAAATGTATCCACAGCTGAATTTAAAGTACATTTAGCAGACAGCAAAAAAATTGAATGTAGATGTAGTAGCCGTAATGGAAAATGATCTAATGAAAGTGGAGTTTTCATTTCGTATTAAAGGCTATGTTTCTCATGACATTTTACATACAGATCAACAGCTTAGTGCCAATCTATCAACATCATCTGTCGCACTATTAAATGCAAACAAAAATGCATGTCAGTAAATAGTCTCACAGTTTTTTGTTTATCCTTTATATTCGAACATTTAGAAAAAATAATGTATTTAGCGAATAAAGTAAAAGCAAGTTAAAAATCCGCACGTTTTCCTCTTCGGTCCCAATTATCATATCGCATTAGTTGAATGGAGAATTGACCGACAAGAAAAGAAAGATTAACATGTGTTTTTCGAAAAGAGGAAAATTTGAATGTAAAAGACGAAAGAAAACAAAAAAGAGAATACTATGAATAACTAAAAGAAAGAAAAATCATAATTAGTTCTAACAGAGTAAGTGCTCGACTCTTGTATTCTACTATTAATTAACACCCTTTCCACAGCTTTTGTCGATATTGTTCTTCTTTTTATCATGTTTTAGCCAGGAGTGAGCAAATCCAATTCTCTGAATTCCGTTTTAAGTTCAACTCCATTTTCTTGCTTTAATTTCGGAAACTGCTGTTTACTGAGAAGGAGGTACTTTCTTATGCATTCTTATAGGCGCAACTTTAGTCATATAAATTCGACATCCGTCTCTTTTGGAGAAAATACAGATGATCTCAAGTGATGCATAGCCTTCGCGTGCGATATCTTTATCATGAAAGAAATCTTTCTATTTTCTCAATCACAATTATATATTATTCGTAGTAAAAAGAGTGGAGTTGTATCGGGGTTAAAAATATGTAAAAAATCCAGCTCCACTTCATCTCCGATAAAACAATGCTCAACACTGGAGTTAACCCCAAATCCGGAGTTGAAGTTGTCCTGTATTGCTTTTAGCATTCTGTGCAATGTTGTAATTTCGAAATATAATAATCAAAATTAAATTCGTACAAATCAATCATTTCATGTCCTTTACATAGAACGCATACGAAACATCAACGTTTTTTTTATGAGTCATATCAAAATGTCAATAGAAGCTGTTATCATGAGTGAATTTTTTATTCATCAAATGCATATTCAACAAATAGTTGTGTTTCTTTCTGTTTTTATCATTCAACCAAATACAATGATATTCATACCCATTTTGTAAATAAACTCGCATGAGAATACCAATTTGTTTATTTTGTAATGAATTAAAATATCCAGATGATCATAGCGATTGTAGAAATACGTTTCTTCTAGTACATACGATCCTTTTGAAACTATTTTATGTCTTTTTCAATCATTATAGATGGGTTCATGGTACCTGGAAGCGTTAAATTTTCGAAGTACTTGTTTTTTTCCCAAATCCGTTGTAATAGAAAAATACGAAATTCTAGTTGATGTCTCGGCCGACACTATACGTCTGAAGAATCGCAAGCGCCTTCGATAAATATTCGAATTGTATTAACTCTTTGTCCATTACAATCAAGGGGGAAACAGCTGATCGAAATCAGCCCAAAATCAATTGATTTTTAATGATCTTCTATGATTCTCTGTGATTTCCAGTGACTTCCAGTCATTTCCGGTTACGTTTCATTTGGTGCAAATCGATGAAAATCAGTGAAAATCGAAAAAATTCCAAAATCAGCCGTTTCCCCCTTCGTTACAATACAAATGAGCTGTGAAGAAAATTAGCTATGACGCCTTTCTTCAAGTTTTTACATTCAACAAACCTTTTAGTTGTTGAATACACTAGGTATCAAATGTATTCGGGTTGAGTAACGAAAAAGTTGAATAAATATTTCTACCATCTTTTAGTATTAATTTAGTCAATTATTTATTTTACAAAAAAATGTTACCATGAGAGGAAATATTCCATAAAATATGGAAATAAATAATTTTAGGCTGAGATTTTAGATCAAATATAAAAATAGTACCAATGATAGTAAAACAGCAATTATTTGTATTTATGATGATTACGAGCATATTACTGTTGTAAGTATAATTGTTCCACATTTTTCTTTCAACTAAAGGCTATTTTTTGTTTTTAGAATCTCCAATGCATCGTCAATGTTAGGCAAGAATACATCTTTTTCTATAATTCGATCTTTGCTGTATACACTTACTGATTCTTTGATTAATGGATGATTGTCATTGTTTGAAAAACTTCGATCAACAGTTAAATTTATGACATTTTTGCGATCAGGAAATTGCAACGATTGAAATTTTGTTGTTTCTTCTTTCTGTTATCTCTTTGAACTGCAACGGATTTGACTGTAGAATCAAAGTCTACCAACAATTATGTTGACTTACTTTATAAAAAATGTTTGTAATTAAGACAGATTAATATATCAGAGACGAAGGAAACAGTATGCACCGATAAACATACTCGGCCAACTTCGATTTCATGTTAAGCTTTACTTAACTTTGTAAAAGCAGAGAAAAAAATGTACGCTGATTTCATAGTAGAGTACTGCAGTTCTAACCTTTTCAGACCAAGAACCCTTGGTCGTTCAAATCCAGTTCGCAACCTTGATTTTCTTTGGTTACTTTAAAAATATTAGTAAATTGAGTGGGCGTAGCCAACTGGCAAACGTAAAATTTAGTCGGGTGAAAACTCTAAAGTTAATATTTTTGTACAAAGGCACGATTATTCGAAAAAGGAGTGGCATGAGTACGTTGAGAAAGATATATTATAAGTAATATACTTTTTTATTTCACTAATTTTTGAAAGTTGTTTTAAGTGCGAGCCATAGAAACAACAACAACAACAACGTGCCCTTTTGGAACGTGGAATCTTAATGCCACAACAGTTGCTGGGGGAAACGGTGTGGGTAATGCGAAAGATCAACTTAGATGGCCAAATGATTTGGCTATTGATAGTAATCAAGACATTTATGTAGCAGATACTGATAATCAACGAATACAGAAATGGTCTGCTGGCTCTTCGTCTGGTATCACTGTTTTTCCCACGAACGGTTTTCCATTGTCATATCCAACGGCATTATTTCTCGATCAAAATAAATATTTATATATTTCCGATGATTTCAATTTTCGTATTTTAAAATGGGCCATTGACGGATCTGAGGCAGTTAGAATAGTGGCGGGTGGTAATGGAAGTGGAAATGGTTTAAATCAAATACATAGTTGTCATGGAATATTTGTTGACAATAATAGTAATGTATACGTATCGGATTATTACAATCATCGAGTAGTGAAATGGATACCAGGTTCTTCAAGTGGTATTGTTGTAGCTGGTGGAAATGGACACGGATCAGAACTCAATCAATTATTTAAACCAATGGGCATTTTTGTTACTTCTGACGATGTAGTTTATGTAGCTGATACATTGAATCATCGAATAATGAAATGGGTGCCAGATTATTTAAGTGGCGTTGTTGTGGCTGGTGAAAATGGATCGGGATCAAATTTAAATCAGTTAAAGAATCCAAGTTCAGTTTCAGTTGATTTATATGGTAATGTGTATGTGTCCGATATTACTAGTTCTCGTATAATGAAATGGACTCCTGGTGCAATTGATGGAACAATCATGTCAAGCGACTTATCTGGTCCGTTTGGACTAAAATTTGATAAATATAACAATTTATATGTTGCTGATAGTGATAATAATCGTATACAAAAATTTAGTTTCAGTAGCACGTCATGTAGTAAGTTAAAACATGCTTCTTCTTTTAGAAAGGCGACTTAAGCAATGATTTTTCAAAAGAACGACCTTTTTCATGGATGCGCCAATTGTTGTAACAAATCTCTTTTGAAATGAATACAAATCAGCTGGTAGTTTAGACCTTAGTGTTTTTAAGGCGAGAAACTGAGCAATTTTGGGAGAGACTAGTCTTCGGGTTTGAGTTGATTTTCACACAATGTTTAGAGCATGATAATATTTCAATTCATTTTGTCTAGCAGTCAAGCATTTGAATAATCGTCGGACACGAAATTTCAATTTTTTCAGTGGACGACTAAACCAGATGAAATATCCATTCTTTTGAACCCACTCTGAGCTGGAACGTCAGTTCCACTTATCTCCATTTTATTCACTTAATGAATTCTGCCGTCTTAAGCTTTTTTTACGATACTTGTTTATTTTGTTAGATGCTGGTGAACAGTTTATGACAACAACAACAAACCAAAGCGTATTGAAAACAATGTGTATAATAACGCTAGGTTTCGTATCCTGGCGTTTGATTTTATAGAATCTAGCGGTATTTGATTAGACATCATGTATCAGATCCATTAGAGAACTTTTGCTAAACAAGATTATATCTCTCTATCGATGTAAACACTCTTTTGATACACATAACAGCTTTTCACGATTTTGATGTTCCGATATGTTTACGTTTTTCTTACACTTCTTTGCAGAACATAGTAGACTTGTCATCAAATAGCCCATATCAGATCAGTTGTTAGTATTACGGAGAATTTGACCATACTTGAAAATGAATATGTTTTTGTATATCATTGCAAATTTGATGTTAGTAAATCATACCTTTGTGACTATTTTTCAATCTGATTTAACATTAAGCGTTTAATTTAGTTTTGCAGTTTACTGCAAAGCTCATGTGTTCGAATGGTCTATTCGTACAAAAATTGACTTTGTGTTTTTCGATAGTTTTAGTTTAGAATACTATAATGGAATATTTTCCGCTTGTATTCTAACAGAATAAAGCTTATACCACAATAAAGCGCGTAGAATATTCGGATTCATCCGATTCAGATGCCATCGAAATTAATTGTAATTTAAATTGGAGAGATTTTAAAGTTTTGCACTATAACTGATATCTAAACGTACAAACATTTAGCAATTTGCGTCGTGAGCACAAAAATGTGGATTTTCTAACTGCAATAGTTTTTGTTATATGTCATGACGTACCAAGACATGAGTTTTTACCTACATAACTGGGCTCGCTTTATGCAACATCCCATGGACATATATATATATATATATTAGCTATATATATATATATATATATATACTGGCTGAGATATTCAAGTGTTAATCGAAATTCCATGGAGAACCCTGATTTTCCAGCAAAATCGTATTTTCAAATTTTGATCTGAAACTTTGCCCACATAAAGCCCTCAATTCGACTAGCTTGTGGAAAACAGTTCAGAACTTTTGGACATAGTACCACCGAGATATGAGTTTTCCAAAATAAGAACGTTTTTTCCATAGGTACTGTATAAAGCATGAATATTTTGAAGCATCCATATCTCGGTGGTACTATGTCAAAAAGTGCTGAATTTTTTCCTCAAGCTAGTCTAATTGAGGGTTTTATGTGGGCAAAATTTCAGATTAAAATTCGAAAATGCGATTTTGCTGGAAAATCAGGGTCCTCTATGGAATTTCAAGTAAAACTCGAATATCTCAGCCAAATCACAACATCAGCCGATAGGCTTTTTCTAGTCTATAGGTCTTCTACTCATGGGCAAAATATGGAGCCAACAGCGATTGATCAGTTGGAGATCTTCCCTCGTCAATGAATATTGGAGAAACAATGAAGTAACCTCGAACTTTTCGATTTTGACTTTCCCAAAGTAGATACTGGAGAACTCCCTCTAGATAATAACTGCCAATCAAACTGATGTGTGTTCTGACCGATTTGATATTTTCAAACTAGGAAAGTGAAAGGAGATCGATTCTGTAGGAAACATGTGAAATTAATACTAGGTTGAGTAAAAAGTTCGTGCGTCATGTTAAAATAATGTTTTTTTATATATTTTTTTTGTGTTTTTCATCTGGTTCTGTGCTTATTATAAAAATTTATTGATTTTTTAAGATGTCTGATTACGAAATAACAAATTTTGAACTTCGCGTATTGCTCCGTCATTATTGGAGAAACGATTTGGATGCAAAAGCAGCTGCCAAAGCAATTTGCGACGTTGAAGGTGAAGGTACGGTAGCACCGCGAACTGCACAGAAATGGTTCAAGCGTTTCAATGAAGGCAATTTTGATCTTGAAGACAGGCCACGTTCCGGACGACCAACGGTTTTGGACGAAGGAGACTTGCAAGCCGCCTTGGATCTTGAGCCGTCATCAAACACACGCGAATTGGCTGAAGAACTTGGTGTCGCTCAGAAGACAGTTTGGAATCATCTCACGCAACTTGACTTTGTCCACAAAAGGCCACGACCAGATCCACACGAGTTAACCGAAGCGCAAGCCGCCAAACGAGTCGAAATTTGCCGCCAATTGCTCAATAATCCGTTAGATGACCGTTTTTGGAAGCGAATTGTGACATCAGACGAGAAGTGGGTCTACCTGGTTAATCACGATCGAAGCAAGCGTTGGGTCCGAAAAGGTCAAACTCCTCCATCCGTTCCGAAGCAAAATCAATTTGGAAGGAAGGTCATGGTTTGCGTTTGGTGGAACTTTGAAGGAATCTTGCATTTTGAACTTGTGCCGAATGGTCGCGCCATCAACGCTGAACTTTACTGCGAGCAACTTGATCGAGTCTACGATGCGCTGGTTGAAAAGTACCCAAGTCTTGTTCGCCGAAAACGCGCTTTGTTTCAACAAGACAACGCAAAGCCGCATACCGCCAGAAAGACCAGCAAGATGTTTGAAGAATTGGACGGTGTCGAAGTTCTGCCGCATCCATCCTATAGTCCAGACGTTGCTCCATCTGACTACGGTCTGTTCCGATCAATGCAGCACTTTATGAAAGGTCGCCGATTGGAATCATTCGATGAAGTTGAAGAAGCATGTCAAGAATTTTTCGATTCAAAGCCGAAGGAGTGGTACTTTGACCAAATCCGAAAGCTTGCGGATCGTTGGCAGAAGGTCGTGGACAATGATGGTCTTTATTTTGAAGAATAGTTGTTGTTGTTTTTGAATAAATTCATGCATAAAAAATCATTATTTTAACATGACGCACGAACTTTTTACTCAACCTAGCTCAAAACCCGCTAGTAATTCTTCAACATTTATCTGTTCATTTTCGTTTATCAAAAATATATGATGAAGAAATTAGGAAAACTAGCGCTTTTCACCATTGCGCATGTTTATTATGGCCTTATTTGAACCGAGGAGCGCACACAGGTATACATCATGAGAAAAATTTTTTCAAAAATCCAACAATCCGATATCATATTATTTGAGATATAACTGATTCATTACAGTTGCAACTGATGTGAATATTTTGTCCAAATTCCACATGGAATTGGGACAATACAAATAAAAAATACGATGATCGGAGTTATATCGCCGTTTGCCTGATAAACAAGAGCTATATTATGATAACTAGCATACCATTCCTTATGATTATTTGGAAAACATTTTTAGTCTAGTATTAATTATCATTTTGTAAGTACGTTGATAATCTTTGGGTGCATCA